TGAACACTCTCTTTTCGCTGACGTTACGTTTTGCGTTTGTACGACGTGAGGTATCGGATCTTCTTTGGGATGTTGAATCTTCTGAAGACTGACATTTTCCAAGCGTATCTCAAATTCTATTTGCGAAGTTGTGCATAGCAAGGAATTTCAATTTTGTCAGTTCTGAATTTATTTTGAAGGGTGTGATTTCTCACACACCTGAACTAGAAACAACTTTTCTCGTATATTCAAAATAACATGACTACCCGATTAGACGTTTGAAAATACGTAGGACAATACTACTCTATTTACAAATATACCCCCATAATGTATTTTGAATATTGAATACATTTTTGTATACATTTTATATAAAAGTGGTTGTTTCAGAAGTATTTCTTTTTTTGTGTTATTCAATGTTTATATAGAAGTAGATGTTTCTAGAGGGCTTTTTCTTTCAGTTTATGCCCGAAAGTTGATTATTTGCATGATATATACATTTCTGTAGAGAGTCGTTTCTTAAAGTAACTGCTTTCTTCTTTTCTTTAGAAGTTTCCAATGTTTTTGGTATAAAGGAGAAGCAGTAAGCCAAAACCTTATTTTTGGCCACATAATAAGTGACCGGTTTCAAGATCTCTTCAAAAGTTAAGAAATCAAAAAATGTGGGCCGAAATCTATGAACTGTGATGAATGTCCCATTCCTAATAACCCAATGTTTGCACAACGTAATTATACGTATAAAACAGGTGAAGAATAGTTATTAATTAGATAGTGAATAAAAATAGGAGCAATAAAAAATACTAGAAATTAATTCAATGACCTCCATTATGCAGGGTAATGATTCATCTAGATGCATGAAAAACATTAACATCGATGTAAAAAGTCATTTCCTGATTATGCAGGAAACTTGGTTTGCGAAACGCTCGTCGAGAGACAAGATTTTTGTTCTGTTGGGGAAAAAGTGTTTTGAATAGAATTGTTTGTCACAACACTGATCATCAGTCTGAATAAATTTGTTGAAGGATTTTCACATTCGTGAAAAAGTTTTGAACTTTTCTCTAGCGGCAAATTATTTTTTTCCTCAATAAGTTCATGTCCTTATTTTATATTTTTTCACTTATATGAGTGCCTAGACTTTCATAGTTATATCGTTTCTTATCAGATATACTTGTCGACCTTGAATTTAAAACAAGTGTTAACCAAACCAAATGAATGTAAATCGAAACAGTGACAGCTTCACTACCAATATTTCATCAGTATTCATATATAATGCAATTTTCAAATGACATATTTATTGAAATCCAATAAGCTCCTATATTCATATCAGTATTGGCAACCGAATGTAATGCTACAATTGTTCAGAATATATTTTTTGCGGAATAGCCAGTACGATATATTTTGAAAATACAAAAAGCGAAGCCATCCCGTTGCATGCCAGGTCCGTCTTTCATTGATGTTAACAAGAAATATTTTTTCAGTGATTAATTTGTAGAAAAAAAACAATTTGACTTTCTACGTCATAATATATGACTTCACCTTTTAGTTACCCAAATGTAGTTATTACATCTTGTGTAACTGGTCTACTCAGTGGTTTCTTATTTCGTTGCTACTTTGAAAGGTTAGGTTAGGTTAGGTCAGTTCTCCAAATGAAAGACTTCTCAAATAAGTCGTTGATATACGATGAAAAGAGGGTTGGAAACAATATGGACCCCTGGAGAATACCAGCGTTGATAGTAAAAGTATTCGAGAAATATCCCTCGACGGCCACTCGCAGGAAACATTCTTTCAGGAAACTGGAGAGTCACACACAATTAATTCATATCTAAACTTCAGTGAACTAATGAGTCATTAAGTAGGTGGAAGGTCGAATGATTCAAATTTTAATATTATATAAAAAACAAATTAAACAGAATTCAGTCCGTATGAATCCACTTCAGGAAAGTATTGTATAGCGAAACTCGAGTTGGAGTTTTGTAAACTATCCAGCGAGAATCTCATAATGAAGTGTTGCTTGAATACGTTAAATGCAATGAGGCTCGACAAATTATGATCCTTCCCCAGAATTACAAAGGTTTATTTCTAAATGCTATCACAACACGACTCACGAGTCAATTTGAAATGAAAGCAATGCGATATTGATTGAATTACCTATCGAATGAAAAGGTCGATGCATACATATACAAAAAACTGCTTCTACACCTGTAGCAATCCACTCGGGTCCTCATTACCATTAATGAATTCGGCTCGTATCAGTTCGAAGGAAAGTAATTCGACCATAACCTCAATTAGACATCCTTATCAGACAATAACAAAACCCTGCTGGTAGCATAGTTATTGCGGTGCGATTCAACAAGTGCGACCTTACCGTTTGCTGTTGTGAGAAAAACCTTAGAAAAGGTCGATTTTTCGGTACACAGGTGGCGGCAGGTGGAATAGAAAAGCTACGCAAAAGTGCGGATTATAGTTGAGTATACAGAGTGATTCTAAATTTCAGCGGATAGGTGCAAATATTGGATATTTATATCCTAAAGAAGCTAAGTCGTTCTCTTTAGGATGTTGATAGATGCAAGAAAGTAAAACTCATGTAGTTGAATATTTATTTGAAGACTTCAGTAGATTTGAAGATGAAAGTGATTTGAAGATAAAAGTAATTCATGGAATACATTTTTCAACAGGTAATAGGTGTTGGGATGAATTCGGGACAGTTTTGGAAACTGCAATCAGTCTAGGATACTGATTTCAATCGAAAACTTAAATCAAACTCCCATTTTGTTATAAAAGCGTTTCTGGTTTAAATAATCAGATGATACCAAATAGTATAAATTGTCTGTTTTATCTATGTGGTAATCAGTTTTGGTAAATATTCGTGCCTTCTTTTTCACAAGATGAACTATATAAAAACACAAGCATTTATTCACTAGGTCACCTTCACACCGTATTCCTCTTTCCTTAACACTTTTCACTTCAAAAATCTAAATTTTTTCATTAAAAATGTTACGAAGCTGCTTTTTGGTTATATATCTCTGTAGTTTACGTTTTTATGGTTAATGGCATAGTTGGTACAACTGATGCTGTCAATATTCCTGAAGTAATTCAAATGTTTTTTGCCTTCATTCTTCGGATCGTAAATCAGTTTTTGGTGGTGTAATAAGATAAGATGGATTCAAGAAGTAAACCAACAGCAGCTTATATTCCGCAAAATAATCCTAGTGAGTAAATTTTGTGCAGTACAATTTTTCCAATTCCCATTTACATTAAAAGAAAGTTCCCATTCTAGCACTTCTTTTAAAATTGGTACAACGTATTGTTGCTGCAAACACTCTTATTTGAACTAAATAAAGAATTAACTTTTTCCTTACTTTCACTAAATTATTAATTTCGTTCAAGTTCATTTTGTGTTTTTCTAATTACTCACGTCAAACTGAGAATCCAAATCTATGAATTTTGAACAGAAGGCGGCAAATACCAACCGCTTTTCTCTGAAATGTCACTAGAAATGAAAATAGAAGAATGTCACCAAAAGAAGCATTCGTTTTTAAATTAAGTTTTTCATGAGAAAAATGTTGATTGTTGAATTGAAAAGTATCGATTACGGAGAAATAAGGTGTAAAGGTGACCTAGTGTATAAATTATTGTGTTTTTAATAGTTTATCCTGTGAAAAAGAAGGTGAAAAGTTGCTCTTTTCTGAACTTTGAAGAGCCGTTATTTTGTAAATAAAGGAGAGCACCGCTTTTTTCTTTCAAATTCATCAAAATACGTAAGTACACTCAAAAATTTTTTCATAGCCTTATAAAAAATTGAGAAAAAAATGCACTTGTGTAATATATAAGTGCACATTATTCGATAAGAAACAGTGTTGGAACAAATCCTTAACAAATAATAATAGATACGACAATGACATATTCTAGTACAACTATTTCAGTGATTCACTTCATTGTAGCATCTCTCATACTACTTGCAACTAAATTATCTAATATTTGACGGAGTCGCCGGTATACATGTCGTTTCTTAAATCATGTCGTTCTAAGTTCTAATCCGTAACATATATGAAAAAGAATCATATTCCTTCAGAGTATTCATAATTGTTTATTTAATATAAGCCCTAAATGAATTTTTCCCTTCCACAACTGATTTTTTATGATATTAAGGATAGTGGTTGTCCCCATTCAACTATATTCACTGGCTAAATGTGTTTTTTTGAATGATTTTTTACGGTACCACTGCTCAAATTTTGTTATTATTTCTGACACAGCACATAATTTAAATTTTTTTATTGGTGTGGTGTCTTTTCACCACATTTCTGAACAATTTCCATTTTTCCTGACGTGAGAACAATTTTAGGAACTGAAATTTGAGTCCTGAAAAATTCAGGTTTGACAGAATGAAAACGCTTAGTCCAAGTTCTATCGCAATGAGTGATTGTATCCGATTGAAACAGATATTTATTATTAAAGATTTGCGATCAAAATCCATTGAACCGTAACAATTTAACCCAGTAGATTTTTTCTTCTTGGAACCGAGTAGATTTTTTCCCTGAATTATTTCCAAAAAATTCTCCTTGATAGCATATGAAAAAAAAAACGCACAATATAAGTACGACTGGTGATTTTTATTTGAATAATTTTGAGTTTTTCAGTTGTATTCACTGGGTGAAAAATCGTATTTTTTCAATATACCGTAAAACTATTTTGACTTTGCAACACTTGCTGAAGTTTTCATATTGTAATTTAAATAAAGGTTCGAAATATTGATAACTGACAAAAACTAATCCGTATGACATGTTACTCTCCAAGACGTAAATATGAATTGAATATTTTTCCAAATAAATGGGTCATTTATTCAAATTGGATGGGGGACGTTATTTGAATATTTGGAAGAAAGTTCACATCTATTCATCAGTAAAAATTATGTTAGTGAATGTTGGTGAGACTTATATTCCACTTGAAGGTGTAGGTAAAAAAACAAGGTGTTTCGCTGACACTATAATATTATCTTCTAGATTACCTTTAAGGAAATAGTAACTTCCAGGAGAACTCTGTATACTCATCGTTTTCTAATACGCCAGCCACCTAAGAATCGTTCCCTCTTCACAGAACAAACGAACTTTTAAAAGGGAACATCGCGAAAAACTTCTGCAAAAACCGCCGCCGCACGAACGAGATATAAAAAGTGACAATCGGCGCATCGGAAAACATCTGCCGACACCGCGATGGATTCCCCTAGTTTCCCACGGTTCGCGTGCATCATCAAGAAAAAGAGGGGCGCGAGCGGCAACAAGAAAAACGTCCAAAATGACCGCCATCGCATGCGACGTGGTTCCAGTCTTTCGAATCTGGATCAAATTTCGCAAGCTCTTCCGGATTTGGTTAGATGCACCACCGCGGATCAGCAACTTTGCGTCGGTTCCGACGACTATCTCCAGTCGAGTAGTCCGAATATGTCGAGGTCTTTTCTGGCTAGTAGTAATACCCTGAGCATCGGGGGTTAGTATAGAGTGTTGGAGATGGCTATGAATTTCAACTTTTAATTTTTTCAAAGTTTTAATCACCCCTATATCATGAAATGTTTTTTTTGGGCTAATAACTCGAGGCACATTCTCATTATATTTCCCTTGGAGAATATTGATACAATTCATTTTCAAGGATAGTATTGACTTCTTGTTAGAAATGCTTGAAATCATTTGCAAAATTGAATCCGTACTAGAAAATTATCAATATTTTCATCACATATCTACATCATTAATGTGAGTGTTTCATTTTCTCATTATTAAATTTCAGTGGTCGATCACAAGTCTGCAACAAAAATTTTTTCTGGATGTTTCGAACTGATTTCTATGTATTTAGGTGTTCTGAAAACTCAAAAAATTCCAGAACGTCAAGCAAAGAGCAAAATTGTATTATAAAAAAAGTGTTTTCTGGGCTAACTTGAAATCACAAATGATTGGTATTATTTTATTATTACGATGAAGAAACGAGAATTGAAACTTTCAATGTTTGCGGAAATTTTGCACTATGCAAGGAAGGGTTGCAATCTCAGTTATTTGGAATCCTTGGCAATGAACGTTGAGGGTGCAACCTGTTGAATAATCAAATCTTACCGGTTTTCAAATTGCCGTATCCACATTGTCACAGATAACAAAATTCAGGTACACAATCAAGCTAAGTATCTCTTACCTACAGAGGTGTTATAATCAATCATTGTTAGTTTATTGTATAAGTTTGAAAATGTCCTTAAAGGACGAAACTGTAGTAACGTTAGTTACAAATGAAAGTGGTAAAAAACAGAAAGTTTCAATTATGATTTCCTACCACGTAAAAACGGGTACATCCATCAATTTATTTTATTATCACTGTTTTTGAATGTATACAGGTCATAACTATCATTACTTTCTAAATAAAGAACGTCCTGTACCCTACTTTGACCAAGAGAACGAGTTGGTTTATTGTACCATTATTGAAGGTTTGATACATTCATTTAATATCTCATATGACTCAGCACAGTGGCGTATTTTCATAGATGCTTCAAAAAGAAGCCTTAAGCAGTTCTGCTTCACAATGGCAGTTTTTATGCCTCCATTTCTATCAGTCATTCCGTACACTTCAACGAAATCTACAAGAATCTGGAATACATTTTTTGAAAATTATTGGAAAAAACCGAGAATTCAATATGATGCTTTGCTGACGACATCACACTTGTATCTTCATTCCATTTGGATTCCAGGACATCGGCTACGGAGGCACATCTTCACTGGCAGTAAGAGGTTGCATATCTTACTGAGGATCTAGAAGTGATTTCGAATTGGGGTGAAAGTAACCAGGTTCGATTATTTTGTTGGGGGGTTGAAATAGACACCAATATATCTTAACTCAATCATGTTGCTGGAATTGCAAAGGCTGCTTCTCAAAAGCTCAGAACACTGTTCCGAACCAGAAAACTGTACAAACCTCAGCAACTTTTGATGCTTTACAAACCTCAGATTAGACCGTCTTGGAAGTATTGTTCTCATGTATGAAGCTATGCCCCCAAACATACCCAGAAGTTGCTGAATTCCATCCGCCTGATTAGAGACTAACATCACGTGCAACCTTGATAGCTTGGAATATCGAAGAAAGGTTGGGGATTTGTCTCTCTTATATAGATACTATCACGAGAAGTGACTTGGCATATTTGATTTCACCAAGAGCGGTAAATGTCAGAAATAGGCGACGAACTGTGGCTGCTCATCATTTTGAGGTTCAACTCCGTACACCTCGAACTTCACTGTTTGAAAACTCTTTCATCTGAAGAACTGCTTTTGTTTTGTCCTCCAGAAAAAGACTGCAGTTGGCAAGTGTGGATCTACCAAATTCTCTTGCTTTTTGTGTCTATGTGATAGTAGAGATCGAGCAAATCACTGGACCAAAGAGCCTTCGAGGGAGCTTAACGTTACCGAAAAGAACATCCTGTGTGAAACTTTGGTACCTCCACATGAAACTGGGATTGATAAAGTAATTTGTGAAGTCACTTCCAACAGATGAATAGTGCTTCAAATACTTGATATCAAAGTTTCCAGGTTTCTCAGAGGCAAAGTTGAAGAAAGGTGTTTCCGTTTGGTAAGACATTAGACGGCTTGTGGCTGATCCACAGTTCATGACAACCATGACGGATCCTCAAAGAGGAGGTTGGATTGCCTTCAAGAAGGTCATAGAGAAATAGACAATGAAAAAGACCCCGATTACAAACAAATCGTCAGAAGAATGATGAAAGCATTTCAAGTTACAGGTTGCCTAATGACTTTTTAAGTACAATTTCTTCATTCCCACCCCGACTACTTTCCAGAAAATTAAGGAGATGTGAGTAAAGAGGGAGGTGAATGATTTCACCAAGATATTGAGGAGATGGAAAAAAAGATGACAGGGGAGATGGAGCATCTCAATAATGACAGACTACTGTTGGAACGCTTCAGAGAGATCTTCTAGATGCTTCCTACAAACGAAAATGTACCAAAAGGAGCCTTACAAGAAAAAAGGAATGTGTTTAGTGCTTACTACTGAATGTATTGTATTTTTGCATCTTTTATTTTAAGATGATAACTTGTTCAACATAGATACATTGTTAAAAAACGTGACGATCTATGACAAAAAAAAAGTTATTTTCAGATTCAGCACACCCAAAACATGAGAATTACGCAAAAAACAGCTCTCAATATTTTTTTTGCAGACTTGTGTGATGAACTTCCTGTTTGTAGTTATCTCAAACTGTTATTTATTCTGTAATAATTCAACTCGTTAGTAAATAAGTTCATCAAACAGGAATGTCATTAAAATGTGAAGGATTTACTAATTTACCTAAAGTTACCAAGTACGGTGTTTTGAAAGTGAAGAAAAGTACCAAACTACAATTTGAACTTTCTGTCGAATTGAAAGTATTTCTGTTTGCATGTGTAACAGGTGTTTAGCCAAGTCAGGTAGAATTTTGTACTCTAAGACTATCATTCCTCAGCTGTTTACTACCCTATTTCTGCCTTCGAAGTGTTCAACAAATTTTGGCAGAAAGTTAAGATATCTATTCAAGGAGTTTTCTTGATTCGAAATATTTGTTTTTTAACTTGTCTTAAGTCTTGAGGCCTTCGCGAAACATCTGAAGCTCATTCAGTTATTGGCAATTACTTTATGCATTGACAGTTGATGAAGCCATTGTGCTGTTGTCTGCAATTTTATGGTATCTCCCAGAAGATCGTTGATGTAATAATAAACAAGGATTGAAACCAAAATGGACCTCTGGAAAACATCAGTATACGATCTGTCAAGATGCAACATCGAAGTTGTGAATTCTCATACCATAAAAATAAAAATCCTAAAAATATCGAAGGCAGGAGTCACATACTCTTTGCATTTCTTTTTCTGCTTCTAGTAGAATGGTCGTTGCTTCCTTAGTCTGGTGCATTTGACAATTCGTATATATCTATTGTATTATTCCAGAAAATGGGTTATATGAAATACATTAAAATAATACCAAGGAACTTTTTATGTTGTTTCATGTTCTTGTATGAACAATGTTCACTGAATTTCGTTAATTTAACTCCATCAACTTTTTCCAATTCGGACATCTTTTTCACCAATATCCGTAGCCACTATGTACAAATGTATTTCCCAACATTTCTTTGCACAAAATATCGATAGAGCTACATACAATTTCCTGACAGATATGTCTGAGAAAAGTGAATGCTTTGTGTTCAGAATATACATCAATTTCAAGGATATCTTGCAAATTTGCAGGTAGATGTGAATACCCATGCAACAAGACAGTTTTTTGCAAATATTTCGAATAGTGGCGATCCGAAAGAAAGGTTTTATCGTACCCCCAAACAGGCATATTTTGGGTTATTTAACCAACCTTGTAAGTCTTGCCTGCCAATACCAAGATGACAACTGTGGAATCACTTGAAAAACGGTATGTTCATCGCCAAAACGAGTTTCCTTGAATGAAATGAAATGAGATTGTATTCTGCATTCTGATAGCACATTTTGAACAAGACACTTTCAAAGCTTGTACACCCAACAAGCAATTTTACAACCAACCCTCAATATCACTTTGTATGAGAATAATAGTACCAACAACTTCCATTTCTGCCTCTCAAAAGTTGAAATTCATGGCTGGTGAATCGAACACCTCAGCAAACCTCCTACAAATTCCTAACTCAACTCCTCAGGTAGCTTCGGAGATCTGATGAACATGAAACAATTTGGTAGTAGCCAATGGAGCCTGCGCAGCGAAAGCCTTATAGCGAAGACAGTGCCCCTGTCAACGGTCACTCACAAAAGTTCTTTCAGCGCGTTCAAGGACCCCGTTTTCGAGGATTTAAGTGGCTCATTGACAGGGGCGCAGAGGACTTTGAGGCTTTCCAAATTACTGGAGCAACACAGGACCAGCAGGAATCACAGAAGTGGAATGGTGAGTAGCTTTATATGTTTGGTGAAGGGTTCGAAGATTTTGTCAGATATTGGTATATATGTAGCCTTTATTGGTTGAAATTATGTGAAGAAAATCCCAACCATCCTGGGTTCGTTGCATTTTCTCAACATTTTGTGTGATATATTCATAGTATATCATTCAACGACCAAGAAATGTGGTCATAAATTCTGACAGTGATGATCAATCTCGCGTGTTGAATACTATATTTCTTCTATGACTTATACTTTTCAGGAGTATTATAAAATGAGATTCATTTGTGACGATGAAATAGCTTTTCAGTTTTCACTCCTTCATCTTTATTCGAAAAATTGTGGGAAACTGCAGATAGAAGAGAGTAAACCGAAAAAAAAATCAATTGCGCTCAAAAAAAATCTTTTTATGAATATGTATACAGTGCATTCCATTCAAAACGAGCCACCCTGAATAACTTTAGGTCCAATGATTTGCAGAAAAAATTAAGAAACCCGCCAACCATAGTGTACAGGGTGACACATTTTGACATATTCACATGTGATGTTACTTCCCCTATCGCACTCCCTGAGCATGTCACCAAGTTTTTTAAATGGATCACCCTATATTGTTTCGCATTGGCAGATGCTCTATGATGAGCATATTTCAAAAAATATAAAACATATGGCCTGAAGCTCATAGTTTGGAAGCTAAACATTATTTGAGTTGAAAACGAGTCAATGAACTTCTGTACAATCTCTCACCTAGGTTTCATAGGTGTTTCTGTAGATTATACTTAAAAAAATTATTTTGCCTAGTTAATTTTGAATTCGATATTCTCCTCATTTTGTATTTGTCTTATTCTATAATAACGATTACCTAACAGGTGTAGTTACAATTGTTGTTTCTGTTTTTGTGAATTCTTGAGAAGCAATATTTTATACGCTTCGATAACGGATTGAAATATTGAGTTTGTACCACCAGAATGGAAATAGTGCTAGAGCAGCTGCTCGTATACAGGCTGATTCACGGTGGATGGCACATTAGACATCATCATGGAGCATCTGATAATGCGAAACAATATAGGGTGATCCATTAAAAAAAAAGGTGACATGCCCTGGGGGTGTGATACGGGAACAAAAATCAAATGTGAATATGTCAAAATGTGTCCTCCTGTATACTATAGTTGACTTGTTTTTTTTATTTTTCCTGAAATTCCTTTCGGGTGGCTCGTTTTGAATGGAATGCACTGTATATCATGCATAGAAGTGACTTTCAGATACAAACTGAAAAAAAGGCCATTTAGAAACAATTACTTTCACATGAACAATCAATTACAGGAATGAAAAAATACTGTCGTATCAATTATGAACATTCAATTATACGAAAGTCACTTATTCCTATTCAGTTTGTACCCCAAACATTCATTACGGAATTAAAACACATATCTTTCATAGGAACGCTACACAATGCAATACATGAACGAATTACGATATAAAAATCACTTACATGGAACATCATTATCCTGGATGATGGACTTCAAAGTTTCGGAATGAGACATTTATCTTATTACCACATCAGAACCTTTCTTGATAACGTGAATCACTCAATTTTCCAGTCATACAATTAGTTGATTCAATCTCAGCCATATACTTCTTGTTTGATGGAAAGAGGTCTATTTTCAGGATCGCTCTCTAATCTGGAACTTCAGTAGGAGTAAAAAAGAATATCGTTAGAAATGAACGATGAAGAGAAATACAACGCTTTTACCTATTACTTTGCTTCTGTATACAATCTTGCGATAAACTTCAAGTAGAAAATAGTAATTTTTTTTTCATTGACACTTATGTATATGATTCCGTATATAATAAAAAAAAACAATACCAAAGAAATAACATGATAATAATAATAATAATAGCCTGGATATAGCCTCTAAAGTCGTCAGGAGTTCGGATCCCCTTGTCTGCATGGTCCGTGACCATGAGAGAGCAGGAATTGGAGCATTGGCCGCGGTGGTAGTGCGCCCGACTCACGATCGTAAGGCCGTGGGCTTGAATCCCGGCTCGAATAGATATTTTTCTCGAGAGAATTAATCTGGTTGAAGCTGGAATGATTCTGCAACCGTGTTAGAAATCACATGTTAAAAGGTGAGACCTCGTTAGTCCTTAGCTCGCACAAGTTTCTCAACTTCTGAGAGTTGTCGTTCGTATGGGGGGACAGCTGATTAACGGAAAAACGGATTTTAAACAGAAACAGATTCCTCTTCTGACTTTCGCTTTCCTCAGGTCGAGTGGGCTGAAGTCGGAAAATGAGGGGTTCATCATAGCTTGCCAAAATGGTGCCTTCATCACCTTAGTCTACCGTAGTCGCGTGATGGGTATAGAGTTTCATGACACAAGGTGCAGGGCCTGCCGTGAGGCGCCCGAGATTCTAATGCCCTTGCTATCAGCATGTCCAGCATATGCGGTCACGGCCTATACCCATCGACACAACGCGGCCACAAGAGTGCCATATTACCATCTACGGCACTCTAACGGTATTGACGTTACACCGGGGTTGCCCTACGCTCCGGAGGATATTGAATCCGTTGTGAGGAACGAGAAGTACCGAATTTACTGGAACTATTCGTTTCCCATCCGCAGGCTAATAAGCCTGATGTAGTCCTTCTCGACCACCAGAGCAAGTCGATATTTGTCGTTGAGTTTTCAGCATTTGGCGAGGCGAATATCCGTTTAAAATCTGTCTGTTTTTCCGGTAATCAGTTGTCTCCCCCATACGAACGACATCTCTCAGAAGTTGAGAAACTTGTGCGAGCTAAGGATTAACGAGGTCTCACCTTTTAATGTGTGATTACTAACACGTTTGCAGAATCATTCCAGCTTCAACCAGATAAATTCTCTCGAGAAAAATATCTGATCGAGGCGGTCTTCTGATCGTGAGTCGGGCGCACTACCACCGCGTCCGTCGTCCGAAAAGACGAGGAAAAATTGATAAAATATTGATATTTCGTCTTCAAACTCCGCAGCCTCTATCCAGACCACTCTGTCAAGATGATTGTACTGATTATTGGAGTCCTTGGTGGAATGAGTCCCTCTCTACTCTCGAATCTTGAAATTATACCGGCCTGCCGCCCTAAGGCAGAACTCTTAGCAGCACAGATGCAGAAGGCTGTGATTTTTTCCTCACTGAGCTTGCTCAGGACACACGATTCTTGGACCCAATGATCACTTACCCAACAATGTGGGGAGTGGTCGTTGGTTGATAATGCTGGCGCGCCCTCCCGAATGTATCGGGGCTTCGGAGGATAGGGCCTGACCAGCACATACTTCGGTAAAAAATAATAATAATAGTAACAATATCGTCTTTATTATGTGGAGGGAGATTAGAATTCATCACATGATTCAAATGAATAATATAGATAATCTCGTTGTTGCTTGACCATTACGAGGTTAGATTTAGCCCTCGGCTACTTTTACATCTAACCCTCTGATACTCATCTAGAGTTGATGAAATTATATGGCCCTATAAATTACAATAATAAAAAAATAATAAGGAAAAAATGACATCACTATGTTTTTTCGACCAATTTCTGCTTACTGTGCTATTATTTACTGTGCAGATAGTAAGGCTTTTTAGAAAGTTTGTATAGGCTTTCAAACTTGAGTCTCTGTTCTAAATAGGGATAAAATGTTATTAGCAGTATAGGAAAAGTTTCTCTGGAAAGTAGCTATCGAATGATGTGGCATCGTGAGTAAGCCCGTATCCCTTACATTAATAGAATGTGTATGAGAATAGAATGTGTATGAAATCTGGGAAGTAATCTCCTTTGATTAACCTCATCTTCATTTCCTATCTTACATGGATACATGAAGTCGTCTACGATTTTCCATATTGACCCATTCTAACTCTCCTGACTTTTCAGATACTTGATCATACCGACGTAATTCGTTATCAAGACAAGGACCATACACATACAGTTTTGCGCAAATTTACATTCAGAATAAACTGGTTGCTGTAAAGAGTTTTCAGTGACGTGAAACATGGTTTCTAGATGGAAAGACACATAATATGAAATATACAAGTGCATTAGAAATATGTCGGATCTAAAAGAAAGATTGGCAGTAGAATTATTCTGCTGATCAACATTTACAACCAATTCGTAAAGGAGCCGCAGTCTATTTCTATACTATTTTAGTTATTCATCAACACCTTGAATTTGAATGCACTCAAACTGTTTGAAAATGAGAGATGAAATACAAGGGAAATAATTCAGTGCCAATTCAAGTAAAAAGTTTGTTTTTGTATCATCTAACTTCCTGACTGTCTCCCAATAGAGCCTGTCCCTTGGGCTCTATTTTCCTCACTACCACTCTAGTTGCCAGGAAGATGAAAAGTGACGGCAATAAATCTGTTATTCTCTTAATTTAACCCATTATACGCAGAAAGTTCGTGATGGTGAATTTCTATGAAAACTGTACAGCTCATTTTAACACAAAGAGCGCCTTTGTGGGGTTCTGTTCGGTGGTAATTACTTGAGTGTTGGTATAAATGTGCAGATTATTTTCGTAACGTAACTTTCAGTCTGCGAATAAAGGAATATAGAAATATTTCCAGCCGAGACAGATTTTCCACCTCGATTAATCTTCTGCATGAATTATTTACATTTGTGATCCAAAACATGGCGAGTGACGGTTCTACGAACTCAATAAATTCTAGTGAATTCAATTATTGTTTCAACAGGTTTTGTTGATGATTAATGTCTATGAAGAAAATTTTTTGTTAGCCATGGAGCAATATTGAGCTCCGTCACGCTGGAACCCGCTTTGAAAAAAATTTACCTTATTTTTAGTCTACTTTACCTACAAACGATACTAATAAATGTAGTAATGTTAATTTTTTTGAATTCTTGTCGGTTACTGAGAAAGCACTATTGATATTATTTTAACTACGAAGGACGAAAAAAAATGTGCCAAAAAGTTCTAAAATAGGTTCTAAATGGATTGTAGTTTATTGTACTTACATTGAAATAT